AGCTTGTTGCAAGTGCTCTGACTGTGCCAGCAAAGAATTACCAGTCTTTGGATTGTCCGACACATAATGTGAAGTGGTCACACAATCTGCTACAGAATATGAAGTCAGACAGGAACATATTCTCGGCCCATCAGAGGAACACACACCTAGGGTCGAGCTGATACCAATGGGTATGACCAAGTTGGGAGCCATCCTGATCTTTATTTTGAGGTACAATTTTCTTCCCCCACCCCACTTTCTCCGTGTTAGGGACTTGTCAAACCATGGGGACTCTGGGAGTGTCTGCAGAGCTGCAGGGGCCAGCCATTCCTTCTTGGCAGGAAAACCCATAATGTTTTCTCTCTAATTACTCATTGTTCTAACAGCCAGTATGTGAAGGGGTGTGTGTGTGTGTGTGTTTCAGTTAGTTCCCATCACAGTGTTTGCCAGCTTAGGCACTAACACCTTTATTCCGCTTTCTGAAGTTTGCGAGGATTCTGTCCATCATTTGGGTGGCCCGGTGTTTCCCATGCTTTCCTTTCTATCTTTTATGGCAATGGATTTCTCCCCATGTGCTTTCCCCTGAGGAAGCTGTGTCTAGGTTATGCAGGCCTCTAAGACCAGGGCTCTAGAGAGCCAGCACAATGCATCATTTTGGGGGCACCATTTGGTCTTTGGTGCGATGCTGCTTAGGGAAAAATGGTCTTTCTTCCTCATTTATGGTTTCAGTTTACATCCTTCCCGCTTGCGACCAGCAACACTTGGGACTCAGTGGCTTTTGAGGAAGATTCGTAATTGCGCCACTTCAGAGGATTTTTACCAAAATGAGGTGTAATTATAGGACGAGGCTTCACAACCTCCTGACCAATTAGGCATAGTAGAACATGTACATACATAGGCATACACTGTTTAATTGGCAGCTAAATTATGAAATATACCCCTTTGCTATACAAAGAGTTAATTATGGAGGTTGGCCACCTGCTACCCTACTCTGTTTCCTTAATGGCAAGGGGTGGGCATCTATCTTTTTAAGTCTGAAGCAGGCCATCCTTGAAACACAATGGACCCCTCTAAGGGTAAAAAAATACTGCATTACAGTTATGGTCATTAACAGCTAAGCCATGCAGCAGTCTTTACTTCAGATTTCTGTGAAGGTTTGTTAAACAACTGAGTAAGTGGTGTTTAGCTATGTGGCGTATATTTGCTCAGAGTAAAGATATAATGCTGCCTTTGCTGGCTATTATCTCAGAACGGTCTTCTCAAGGAAATGTTGATAAAGGCAGCAAACAAATAGGGAAATTTTAGAAGCCTCTAAATTACCAGCTGATAATACATAGAAATCAAATTCTGCTGTGGAATAATGGGCATGATAGGAAATAGGACAAAGGACTTTTCCGTTCCCCTAAACGTGGACCACGAGACTACTGGAAAAAAAATAAAAATAAAAAACAAAAACCAGCAAGCTTTCAAATGAAAAGCTTGAAAGAATTTAGGCAGTGTTCTAGGTTACATTTTTTTTTTCTTTTGAAACATGGAAAGACTGGTCTTTGATTCCCCCTCCAGCACACACACACACACACACACACACACACACACACACACACACACACACACATTTTTCTAATTTACAGTACTAGTTCTTAGTTATAATTCCTACCAGATAGCAAACTGCTTTCAAGCTTATGACCTAGAGGTTGAAAAATTGAAGTTTTTTTTTTTATTATGGACTTGACAGTAAAGGAGTCTTCAAAGAAAGAAGAAAAGAGGGAGAGAAGGAAGGAAGGAAGGAAGGAAGGAAGGAAGGAAGGAAGGAAGGAAGGAAGGTGAGCTTTTTATTCTCAGGGTGTATGCTGTGCTGGGATATTTAAACTTAAGGCCCAGCAATCAAATACTTTAGAGAATAAGAAATGATAAATTTTCATCATAAGCCATATTTCAATGTATATCATAGATTTAAACATATTAAGACACCTTTATACAATCCTGTTGTTCCTAATCTAATCATCAGTGAGGTGGGAAAAGGTACATTAATTAGTACTTTGTGGGAAAAGGTACATTAATTAGTATGCTCAGAGACAAATAAGAACATACTTTCAGGCAAAATCGAGTAAATGCTAAATTCTTCCTTCTCTATATTTTTGGAGTGAACGCTCATATTTTTGTAGTTCTTGAAAATACAGCTTGTATCCCTGGGTCCCTATTTGAATTCTAAGAGAGTAATATTCTGGAAGAATTTGATGGAAAATGCTGTTGATTTTTCTACACGGAAGACAGTGTTGAAAGACTCCGTGCTTCTCTTGTGATGATCAAGGCACACTTTGTTTTACTGGTTTCATAAAACAGTTTTAGGGTATTTTTGTGTACATTATCCAGAACGTTGGAGTTTCTGAGATACAAGCCACTGTCCCTCAAAGTAAGAACTCAATAAGGAGTGAGAAAGAATGTTACTTTAGTTTTCACGAAAAAACATGAACTTGAATTCAGAAAAGCAAGCACAGGTAGAGTCACGTGTATAGTTGTGCTGCAGGAGCCGATTGGTACCAAGGAGAAGGAGAGGCTTTGACCCAGGGTCCATACAGGGTCCAGGTGGGTCCATAGCATTCCTGTTGTCGGAGTCCCATCAGCATTTGCAGGCCTTCACCGTGAGTCATTTCCAGCTCCTAATATTCCCAACAGTGAGAAAGCCAGGCGGGGTCCAGCAGCCTGTGTGACACTGTGTTGGGTCCTGAGAGCCACAGTGGTGGGCACAGGGGCGTCTTGCCCGCTTGGAGCACGTGACCATCAGTCTGTTCCTGGATTTGCGTCTAAGCGTAACTATCTTCCCAGAACTCCTTACTGCCGAGCAGCCCCTCTCCTGCCAGAAGTTCTGAATGTTATACCAAATGTTGGTTTTGCTTGTTCTAGCTGACGCAGGCTCTGTTGCTTTGATATGCTAAATGCTAAAGCAGTGGGACTTGGTTAAAATGGAATATCCCCAGAGAAGCACACAATCACAAATGTCATTTCTTGACTTTGCCTTTGCTTCCCGAGGAAACCATTTCTCACTATTTGATATATATATATATATATATATATTTTTTTTTTTTAACTGTAGTGAGCATGTTGAAAAGTGATCACTCACTGAGGTCAATTTCTATTAAGTGAACTTATTCCTGATTTCAGTTTGGGGTCAAACTGGGATGTCAGGCTAAACTGGGATCTTATGTGCTATGATTTTTGTTACATGTCTTGAAACAAAAAAAAAAAAGGCTTATTTATTTTAAATTGTAATTTTATTCCCTCTTTTCTGGCTAGAGAGAGCGCCAAGACGGGCTGCCTGTCCCAAACAAGGCAGATGGTGTCATTCTTTAAGAAGGAGCTGGGCAGAGGAGGGAAAGATCTGTGAAAGGAAAGTGGGGAGACTTGAGGGAAGCACATGTCTCAGAAAGGAGCTGCACTCCAAGGGGAGGAAATGGTTCTCACAGGATGAGCCCTCAAGTCTTTGAGAGCCAAAAGTGGGTGGTAGCTGTGGGCTGGTATTGTTTTGAGAGAGGGCTGGTAGAGAGTAGACATGTTGCTTTAGGGGAAATGTGAGACACCAGCATACTGGGAAGAAGAGAGCTGAGATCTAGGAACTAATGTGAGTTGCAGTCTTGACCCAGGATGTGTTACTTTGGGCAAGTTGTCCTGACCTTTATGAGTTTTCCTTTTTCCCCTGTGTAATTAAAATATTCCTATTCATAGGCCTACTGCCGGGCTCGATTAAATAGTGTATGCGGTTACTTTGTGAGCCGTGGCTATGATGTGTCATAAACACTGATAGAACAGCAAAAACAGTTACTATTATGTTATCCCAAAGAATGAACACATGAGCCATCCACGTTTCCTGCTTCAGACCCCCAACCAACTAGCTTGATTGAGACACACAAAATATTAACCACTAATTCAACAATTAGTACTTCCAGAACTGAAAGTGACTCCTGAGTCTCTTCGTTAACCTGCTAATGAGATATGCTTCTTAGTTACTGTACAGGAGGCTTATTTACAAAACTTAGGTCTGGAAGGCGTCTCCTCTAATTTCATCCCTCTCTTCAGGCAGTACGGTATCAAATGTGAATTAGTTCTGACAGATGGCTGTTGGATTCTGTTTCTAAATTCTTTTAAAGAAGATTTCACAGTTTTCCACTCTAAATTCATTTAGTAATTTAACGATTCTTGTGCCAAGTTCTTTCTTATAGCTGACCTAAATCTGCAATTTGTAGTTTTAAGCCTCCGCCGCCCCGCCCCACCCTACTCCCTCCATCTTGCTTTCTGGAAATAGAGAACAGCTGGTCAGCAGCCTTATGCTAATAACCCTTTGTATATTTAAAGAAGACTTGCTCAGCTTGCCTCCCTCCCTCTACCCCCGCCCACCCTCAGAATTCATCAACTCTTATTATCTGAATCATTCATTGCGCAGCTGCCCAGCTCCCTGCCCCTCTCTCAGATACTAGGCTGCTTCGGGGGAGCTGAATACAGTGTGGTGTGAGTGGCCACATGGAGCTGGAGAGAATAGAAGACATCTCTGCCCTCCTCCGATTCTTCAACCTTCTGATAAATGAAGGATAATTCCTAACAGTGTTGATCACCGCCCGAATAGTTATGTCATAAACATTGAGGCTTGCAAGGCTACTTATGGAATGTAAGATGCTTTGAAAGCTCTCTATGGCCCCTTAGTGCACCCTGCCATACATGCCGTTCAACTGCCACTTTGCCTGCTGTAGCTAACGTTGATTGATATCTCTGCTCTGTTGGACTCCATCTTGGAAGACTAGCCAAAGCTCTCCTGCGTGCAAGTGCATATTGGGAAAACGTAATGAATTTCCTGGTGCTCTGAGCAGACAGTGCGGGGGGGGGGGGGGGGGGGGGGGGGAGCGAGGAGGGGGCAAGAGGACAGCTTAGAATCTAGAATCATCATTGAGAACTGAGCTTGTGGGGGTGAGGCCATGTGGTTTCAGGATGGACCTTGTGATTTGAATGTGTGTGCTTTTATGTCTCCATAGGTTTACTACCCAGAACTTTTGGTCTGGGTCAGCCAAGAGCCATTTCCATACAAGGAAATGGAGGGAAGTCTTACTAAGGTAAGAGCCCCAGCTGCTGTCGGTGAACCCCGTTTTCAAGTTTGAAGCATAAACACACACAAAGAAATAGATCAGGCTTACTTCCTTTCATCTTAATGTCCATTGTACACTCCCAGAATCATCCATTAATATGATTCTATGCTGGTCTTGGAAATAACATACTTTTAAAAACATAACCTACAAGGTAAGTCACCAGTTTTCCCTGTCCATACTTTGGACTACAGTAAATATCAGTTTGACCTTCAATGGAAGGATTGTGATTCTTAGCACTGATCGGATAGTTTCACGAGAAAGAAAAAAATCCATTGCAGATAAGACTTCCATTCAGCAGTTTCTTAGGGCTGGGAGGCGTGGCTCAATGGTTAAGAGTTCTGCTGCTCTTCCAGAGGGTAAGGGTTTGATTCCCAGCATCTACATGGTGGCTCACAACTGTCTTTAACTCCAGTTTCAGGGGACCCAATGCCCACTTCTGGCCTCGTGGGCACTATATGCTCATAGTACACAGACATGTTGCAGGCCAAAGACCCATACACATACAATATTATTCCACCCCACCCCACCCCAAAATCAAAGTTTCATGTCATTGAGCAATGGTACCACCCCAGATGTAACATTGCTGTCATTTTCCTGTATGAGATGACCTAATTTACACTAAATGGTTTAGGCAGTTCCCATTATTGACAGAATTTTTAGAAATCATAGTCCTGTCATCTGGCAGTTGACATGGAAAGAAAACAATTCTAAGTCATTTTTAGACTTTCAGAGACTTTCTGAAGGTCAGGTTGAAACTTTTGGCAGAAATGTAGATGGATGAAGTTTTATGGGACCTGATGGAACTCAACTTGTGCTAGCCTTGTTGAGCTGGAATAGAAAAGAACTGAAGTACAGAACTCATCCGCACCCCACAACTCCATCACCACCACATACAGCAGTAGCAATCTAACCATTCAACACCACCATCACCCCCTCCTCTTCCTCCTCATTACTACTATTATTTATTATTATTGTGGTTGCTGTTGTTGTTTTGATGGTGCTAGAGGTAGAACCCATGCTAGGTACATATTCTGCCACTGGCTACATGCCTCACCCTTTAAAATTATTTCTACGTATACATGTGTTTTTTTGTCCTTAGATATTCTTTTCTGGGCCAAATCAGGGCATAATTCCCCTGAAGCAGCTGAGAGTGAAAAAGAAAGCAGTATAATTAATTCTTGTCTTAATCAGTTCTCCCCATAGTACCCTTTGATGCTGGCAATATCAGCCAAGTGGGAGGGTCCTCAGTGAGGTGTGAGGTCAGTGGTGCGTCCCTTCACTCTGTGCCTCCGCCAAAGCATGCCCTAGGGTGGGCACTGTTGGTAGTCGGAGCCACACCCTCGGCTCTTTTGTTACTTCTTCTCTAAATGTGCAGTGGTATTTTAAGCCTAATACACTTGTCCTTTGTCCAGAAGGAAACTTCTGGAAAAGCACACCTTTGCATACCTGCATGAAAGATAATCTCAATTTACTTGGTCCAAAGCACATTACTTAGTAACTGGGACTGAGCCAGCAGTCATTGGAAGGAACTCCATCCATCTGGAGGTGGCTTCCGGCAAAGCAGGCCCGCTGTGGACACCGAGCATCTCTGCTTGCCCTCCACCCTCAGCCTTGTAGATTACTCAGGGCCCTCTGCCTCACAAGAATCATTGTGTGTGTGTGTGTGTGGATGATGGAGAAACTGTTCGACCTCAACTATCCTAAGGCCTGACTGATGGGGAAAAGGTGTGCTGGACACAGACAGTTCTTTACAACAGAATGGCAGGAGTCAAGGAAGAGGATTGTAATCTAGTAAATCCAGGCTCCAGAGAGGAGGTGCAGAGAGCCCATCTCTTTGGGCGTTCCTCCCCTTGAAGGCGTTTTAGTTTATTGGCCCTCAAGGACTTTCAGTAGCATGCCTCTGCATGACCTACTGATGGTCTTCTGTCATGCGGTTACTTGGGTGTCTCCCCTAGAACAAGTTAATTAAGGGCAGACTGGGTCGGGACTGTTTCGGTTTCTGTTTCTCTCTGTAGGTTCAAAATCCAATAATGAGTGCAAGCATTCAGAACCATAACGAGTGACGAAGTGCCTGAGGGAGACAAAGTCACGCTAGTGCTAATTCAGATCTGAAATACTCTTCCCTAGCTCTCAGTTTTCATTTTATAGTGTGTTTTCAATGGAGGTCAAAGGTTAGTGGTACTGAGTCTCATAAAGCAAGACACAGCAGTGTGCTGACCTTGGAACGTTTTCAAGGCTGCACTAACTGGTCAGATGAGGTGGCGGCATTACTTGGAAAATATCAATGGATTTCTTTTTTTCATTTGTGGGTTGTATACTAAATTTCAAAGTTGAAGTTGTTCTCACAACTACTAATTTTTACACACTATTATTGAGTGCCCCAATAATATGCTTTGAGGAATTTTATTTAGACCCTTAATGGTGTGTGAAGAATTATATTTTTCTGGCTATTTACTGATACCAAAACACCATCACAACCTAGACCGGATTGTTAAGGGGCACATTGTGTGGGTTTCACGTAGGGAAATTTCATGTGGAAATGCTTTCAAAGTTGTAGGCACACTGGGTGTCACATGCAGTAGATGTTGTTTCTTCAGCTTCAGTGATCTACCCTGAGGCTACTGGAAATTGTACTCAGCTTCAGGTTATTTGGAAGTTCCTGCCTCCCAAATTCATCCTCAACATAGATTCAAGTGTGATAATTTACAAGTCACAAAATCAGAATATCACTTCAATCCAAGCACTTCTATCCAGACAACTTCATTGAAACTTTCTTGTTAGAACCTATAACCTGAGAAAAAAGAAAAAAAGAAAAAGGAGAAAAGAAATACTTAAAACCCACAAAGGCTATTTCCTCCCTAAGAAAACACCAATAAGTAATGGTTTAATTAAGAGAGACCTTTGTCTTCACTGTGAGGGTGTCTGGATGGGGCATGCCGTCTTTCTCTTTGAATGAATGAAGTTTTTTGTGTCAGTTGTTCAGTGGGCCCTGCTGTCCTGCTCTCTTTGCTGCTCGGTTCTGGTGGAGGCTGCGCTTCCCCGTCAGCCTCGCCTGTGTGTCAGCCGAAGAGGCACAGTGGTGGTCCTCAGCCATCCGTCGGGCCCATCATCTCAGTCATCAGCTCTGTAAGGAGAGATGAGTTCTAGGCTGCCTGAATCTCACCAGCCTCTGGATGTAGTTTCCCACTCTCCTTCTCTTTCCTACAGCTGCCATCTGGGATTCCTTTCCATTGTGTGCATCTCAAACACTTGGATCTTGGGTACCATTTTAGTCCTGACATTAGCGCTTGGATGAAGTGTGCCAGTTGCTTATAGAAAGTTCACACAGAGAGATTTATGCACTGTGATATTTAAAGTCTTTTATTGTGTAATGGAAAATAGGCTACTGTCAGCCCTCCATCACATCACTCACTGAAAAATAAAACATAGGAGTCTAGAAAGATGGCTCAGTGGTTAAGACACTTTCTGTTCTGGCAGAGGACCTGAGTTCAGTTCCTAGCATCCACATCATGGTTCACAACCATCTGTAACTACAGTTCCAGGGATCCAGTACCCTCTTCTGGCCTCCATGGACACTGGGCATACATGCTGTACACACACATAGATGCAGGCAAATGCTTATGCACACATAAAAGAAATCTTTAAAAAAATGTATTGGCACTCTGATGAGTACTCCTAACCCAGTTTGATCCTAGGTGCTGTCTAGGACTAGCAGCTCTCCCAGAGATCTGACTCTGAGGAACAGTGCCACCACCATGACAGAAACACTTGCCTCTGCACAAGCAAAGGAAAGCTGGTCTTTAATTGCTTCACTGCCCACTGACCTAATATTTACATTCAAGAGAATACTGTTAATATATAAACTGTTGGCAAAATAGCACAAGTTCAAGGATAAAAATGGGTAGAAGAAGAAAAAAAATTTTTCAAATGGTTTAAAAAGTGACTAAGTATATCTTTGTGTCTGTCTGTCTGTCTCTCTGTTTGTCTGTGTGTTCCTTGCAGGGAAGACTTCCTGTGCCAAAGGAAGTGAACCGTAAGAAGATGGAGGAGACCAGCGCTGCCTCTCTGACTCCACCAGGCAGCCATGAGTTCTGCTCCCCGAATATCAGTTACCTCTACTTTTTTTAATTGTAACACCTCCATTTGTATTGCATATGGTGTATGGGGTTTTGATGAGGTCTTGGTATCATATATGGGATTTTTTTTCTGTGTAAATCATCAAATATACGAAGAAACTATGGGACTCTAAGCCTTGCTTTAGAGAATTTACAGTGGACAAATAGGTATCATCAAAACAGTTTCTAATCATTCAGACTCAAGTGAAAATACTCAGAATTTCACACTGTGAATCCACGTTTACAACCCCTACAGGTGGGCCTTCAGGCCTGGTTCGCTACAACAATGTCTTCCACAACTCAAACTCCCTCTGCTCTCACATGACTGGTCCACTCCCACCTTTTCATCACATGGCTCCCGACTGCTTCTTGCAGAGGCTGAGAGTCCCCCCACTTTTTTTTTTCTCACTTAGATGTAACAAGCCTAGTAGTTTATGTTCATCAATTGTCCGTATATCTCTATATTTTATCCATGTACTCTTTTGATGTATAGAAGTAGTTTGAAACTCATTGTTTCCTTGTGGTAAGTGACCGAGATGCTGCCACAGGACCTGAGACACTGATGAATGGTGCTATTTTGGACTTTCAACATGCTCCTTGGCGAGGTAGCTCTGATGGAGTTATTTTTTATTTCCATGTTCTGAGAAGGTGTTGTTGGTACTCTGTTTCCCCGAATGTTGTTCTCTAGACTGGATTGTCTTGTTTTCCTTGTGTCTTCAGTGTGGCTTTCTTCTTCAGTGTTGTAGGTTGAGCGGATGCTGCCAGGAGTGTGAGGGGCTGTCCCCTCATGGCTGGCTCTGGTGGATGTGCAGTCGCGTTAGCGGGAGCAATCACAAAACTGTAATGTACCTACCAGAACTCTTCCGTTCTGCAGCCTCACCTGCCTGACTTAGAAAAAGAAAAGCAATAATTCCCCAGGCATCTCGAGGTATCTCTTTGGATTCTTTTTGTTTGACTGGTATTCAGGGGGGTAAAGGTCCACTCTTTTTCAATAAGTGCCATGTGGGAAAAACAAATCCAAGTACTGACATCTGAGTAGGAATTTGAAAATTATACCTGTCCCAAAGTTGAAATTGGAAAAAATGTCTTTACAAAATTATGATGATGATGACGATGATGTTGATTATGATGATGATGATGATAAAAGGTAAAACACCTTTTTTGGGGCAGTTTTGATAAGCAAGGTGTAGAGTTTACATTTTTGTCCTTGCTCCCAATGAAATGGATGAACAAAAATAAAATCTGATAATGCCATCTCTTCACGGAATGTTGTTGTGTTAGCCAGACTGAAAGCCCACCTTAATTTTTATATAACGTCTTTAGCTCTTCCTTTGACAGGGCAGGCCTTGTTCTGAACTGTTTGCGCTTCTGACTGTTAAACACCAATGACGCATGCACTGTCCTTCTCCCTTCTCTTCTCGCTCCCCCACTGGCCTGAGTTTCTTGTGCATTCCCCCCTCCCACCCCCACCTTTGTTAGGATAGATATATCAGCTATGTAAATAGAGCAAGAAAACAGTATTGTGCATTTGTGGCATTTATGTAGAGTTGCAGCTGCGCACTGCTGGAGATGCAGGCTTTTGTAACATGTGGTCCTTACTGTTGCTCTCAAAAGTACCCAATGTATTTGAGCTATTTTAGTAGTATTTGTTCAATAAATATGCAAGCTGTAAGACAACTGTGATGTGGCTCATCATTGCAGTCGTACTTTTTAATGCCTATGCAGATCCATGGTTATTTTGTGTTCCCAGGACCTCTCACACCAGGCCAAGTGTTAGAAGGGAGGAGATTTACCTTTCAAGAATTTTTGAGGGTTTTATGAGACTAGGGGCAAGGTAGGGGCTTATTAAGATGGTATTAACATCATTGCCTTGGTCACAAAGGAGAATTAAATCCAAATCCTTTCATTTCTAGACATTTTCTTTCTAGGGCATTCCCACACAGCTCAGAATGCACTTTCTCACCCCTTCCTTGCCATGGTGACCCACTCTGAAGTGTTTGCACCTTCACACAGAGAAAAGGCTTACATGTGTAAGAGGATACAATTCTGAGCTAAGCATTTAAGCCATTAATGTGTAGGTACGTAATCACTCAGAACCCTGTGGGTGATAAGATGCCATTATCAGAGCCTTTTAGAGGTCTCAAGTGACTCTGAAGACAAAATTGGGGGATTCATACTCCATAGATACTTGGGCTTTATTCCTAGCTCTTTTGTGTGTGTGTGTGTGTGTGTGTGTGTGTGTGTGTGTGTGTGTGTGTGTGTGTGTGTGTTGTTGTAGATAGAATCCAAGGTTTTGTGCATGCAGGGCAAGCTACTCTACCAACTCAATGATATTCCCAAACCTCTCAATGTATTCTTTTTGTTTGTTTGGTTGGTTGGTTGGGTTTTTGTTTGTTTGTTTGATTGATTGATTGATTTTTTTGAGACAGGGTTTCTCTGTGTAACAGTCCTAGCTGTCCTGGAACTCGACTTGTAGACCAGGCTGGCCTCGAGCTCACAGAGATCTTCCTGCCTCTGCCTCCCAAGTGCTGGGATTAAAGGCGTGCACCACTACCACTCGGCTCGATATATTCTTTAGGAAGGCAGAAGTTATGGGAACATCTAGATAGCTCTAAGAGACACCTATGAATAGAGGGACTGAGTTGCCCAGCCAACAGCCAAGGGAGTGGGCATGGTTCTCCAACCCCAGCCAGAATATCAGATGGTTCTAGCCCCATTTGCCATCTTGTCTGTTGAGAAATTTCTACTGCTTTTCTCATTCATTATGGGACAGAAGCATCCCCTTGATTTATGGAACAGCTTCAAAATTGACTGGTGTACTGTAGATACTGAGATTTCAACTCAGTAGAGGATAAAGAACAGATTTCTAAAAAGAGAGAGAGAGAGAGAGAGAGAGAGAGAGAGAGAGAGAGAGAGAGAGAGAGAGAAAGGGAGAGAGAGAGAGAGAGAGAGAGAGAGGTGTCTTATCATCCCCACACTGGGAGTGTATCCTCAGTAGGGTGGACAGAGATGCTTTGGGGGAGACCCTGGTTCCTGATCGTGCATGTCAAGAGATATCTTATAAATTGGAAGGTTATTGGGTTTAATTTTAAATTAATGCACATCTCCAGTGAGATACCAGCACCTGTATACACACCCAGAGGCTAATGCCTCTGCATGTAAAGGAAGGTCTTCTTTTATTTCATTACCTTTCTACTTAGAAACAATCCTTACTTTCCTACTCAACGAGCTCCCTTTGCTTAGAAGGGTATCACAGCTATGAGGGGATATGCTCTGCCTTATCAAATTAAGATTATGAAGAGATGATGAGACTGGCCATTGGAGTGGCATTTCTCTATTATTTTATTTCTGTCCATCTTAATCATCTGTTGCTACTAAAGAGGTGGCAACCACATTTTGCATATTGAAACCATATGCTTTCGTATCCCACAGGTTCTATGGTTCGGGATTTCTGCAGTAGTATAGCTGGTGGTTATTAGTATCTCCTAGCAGCCAAGATGTCAAATGAGGCTACAGCTATCTGATGTTCTGGTTGGGGTTGGAGAACCATGCCCACTCCCTTGGCTGTTGGCTGTGCCCCTATCTTAGGGTTTACTACTGCTGTGAAGAGGCACCGTGACCACAGCAACTCATAAGAAAACATTTAATTGGGGTGGCTCACTTACAATACCTGAGGTTTAGTCCATTATCATCATGAAGGAGAGCATGCCGGCATGTAGGCACATGTGGTGCTGGAACTGAGAGTGCTCCATCTTGACTCAGAGGCAACAGGAAGTCAACTGACTGTCACACTGAGGGAAACTTGAGAAAAAGAGACCTCAAAGCCCACTCTCACAGTGACACACTTCCTCCAACAAGGCCACACTTCCTAATACTGACACTCCCTTTGGGAACCATTTTCTTTCAAACCACCACAGCATCTCAGTCCCTCTATTCACAGGTCTCTGGGCAGAGCTGTCTGGATGTCCCCATAATTTCCGCCCTCCTAAAGAATATATCTATCAAGAGACGTTTGGGAATATTGAGTTGGTAGAGTAGCTTGACTTGCATGCACAAAACCTTGGATTTTATCTACAGCAACACATACACCACCACCATCACCACCACCATCACCACCACCACACCAAACCAAACCAAACCAAACCACACCACACCACACCACACCACACCACACCACACCACACCACACCCAAAAAAGAGCTAGGAACAAGCCCAAGTAACTCTGATCAAGTCTCAGACCTCACCATTGTGCTGGGATGGTGGCTCACGTCTATATTCACAGAACTAAGGAGTCAAGTCCAAAGGTTTGCCATCAGCTTGGGTCAGCCTCATTTGCATAGTGAGTTTCAGGCCAGCTTGGTTTACAATCAGAGACCAGAAAAAAAGAAAAAGAAACTAGAAAGCAAGCAAACGATAGCCCCAAACCGAATACCATATTCTGTTCATGTAAATTAGTCACTAAGTTTACAGTCTTACGGTATACTCTACAAGACAGAAAATCGTTACATCTCTTGAAATGGGGAAAACTAAAGAATTTGGAGACATAATTTTGAAATAATACACCATCTCTACTAAAAAGAACCTAGGGTTTATTGTAGGTTTCTTATATATTGTGTATATAAGAAAATCTGAAACCTGGAATTACAGATGCTTCTTCAACTGAAAGTTCTTGGAGCTCTGGAGACCATGGTTATGAGGAGCATATTTAGAGCAAGACTGGAGGCCACAGAGCTTCCATTTACTAATCAGAGTGCTGGTATCCCCCAAAGAAATAGTTGCCGGCAGTTGTAAAAACACAGAAGCTGGAATGCATGATGTTTACAGTTCTGAGAAGAAACCTGTGGTATTCTGGGAGGTCACTGAAGACGGCTCATTCAGCCTCCATAAGCTTACAGGGATAGATTGTTGACCCTGCCCTCCACTATAAACATACAAGAATCATTCCAGGAGCAGCCATTAAACTGTTAATGGTTAATACCTGCTGTGGCAGAGCAAGGCTACATTTGGAGGCTGGCTGGGGTCAAGCAGGAGCCCCAGACTTTGATCAAAGACGTCGTTCTCTCACCAGTGGCAAAAAAAGCATTACCATATTGCCTTGGAGAGCAGATGGCCAACCAACTAGGGACCAGATATAACCTGTTGACCCCTTATGTTTGTCTACACTGTGTTTTTAAGAGTGTTGATTAGTTACAAGTGCTGACAAATTGAGAGATTCCACGTAAACATCTAGGTAGAAAAATGGCCGCTGTAACAATAGAAGAACAGCTGAAACAGCGGACTCTACCTTGGGATGAAACATGCCTTCTTCATCTGTTCTCACTCCCTGCTTCACTTACGTCTATCACCTGCCTCCGCTGGAAAGGCAGTTTTCAATATTAATCTTCTGGGCCTAGGGAGTAGTGGGACCCTTGTTTTACCAACAAAGGGTCAGGAACCTTTATCAAGAGTTGTTGTTTGATGGCGGAACTACTTGCAGTAGCACTAAGCAGACTGGAAACAAGCTCCTCCATGCTGTTCCAACAGCCTGACCGTGGTACCATCTGCACCTCCTCGGGTTCTCCTTGGAAATGTCCAGTAATCCTCCTCCAGGCCCTGAGATTCTATGATTGAAAAAAGAAAAGAAGTCTTGGATTGGTTCAAGGAAGACTATATATGAGCAGAGGAGACTCAAGAAGTTCAGACTGGAGTATGTGGCAGCTTTCCACAGAGTATACGCTTGTGTGTTTATGGGTAGCTTTAAGGAAGTTTGTTTTAAGGTCTTCTGTATTCTTTTCCTAAAATCAATCTGCAGAAAATGATTCTGGGTTCATAATAATCCTTTTCCACACTATTTTTTAAGAGAAATTTCATCTATCTCAGATATGACACATGGCCCTTAACATGACACCCAACCCTAGATGGAGGGAACAGAAGGTTTCTTCTAATTAGTCATGAAGACAGTCTCAGGCTTTTCCTTCTCCTATTCGTGTTAACGATGATTATAGTGTTAATGAGCAGCAAATGGGGTCTTTGGACTCATATGGATTTTCAGATTTCAGATGTATGGAAGGTGGAATGATGGAAATAAGGACAATATTTACTTAACACGTCTTCCTTTTCCTCCCTGTCCTTTTGAGGGAGATCGTGGACAGGGTGGAGCAATAACAACAACACAACAAAATGGTAGGAGCCAGCAACTAGGGAAAAATGGCTTCTGCAAGGGATTGTGTAGAACCATTTTCTACAGTTCTTAGCATCTGTCCATAGGGTAGATTTTGATTACTCGACTAGGAAGATTACTCGACTAACAAGAAACAGGAAAGACATCACGGACTGGCAGTGCTGATTTTGTTTGTTTGCTCATCACTCATTCATTTATTCATTCACTCATTCATTCATGCATGCATTCATTCTGAGACCAGACCTTGCTATGTTGCCTAGGCTGGCCTTGAACTCCTGGGCTCAAGCAATAATCCTGTCTCAGCCTCCTGCGTAGCTGGGACTACAGGTACATGTCGTTGTGTCTCTTGCTGACTATTTTAAATGGAATTATAAGGCTTTCTGAAGCTATCAAGTGGCTAAATCCAAACATAAAGACACTTTCATGAGGATTCTTTCAGATGATATACATTGTTTAATAAAACTGTCAAAAGTATTGTACAAATTATGACATGAAATGCTTATTCAATTATAATCAT